GCTTTCTACTTTTGTTTTAGTAAGCACTGCAATTGTGGTTTCAACCTTTGTTTTAGTAAACACACTTATTGTGGTTTCAACCTTTGTTTTAGTAAACACACTTATTGACGTTTCAACCTTTGTTTTATTAAGCACACTTATTGTGGTTTTAACTTTTGTCTATCAAGCACTTATTGTGGTTTCTACCTTTATTTTAGTAAACACAGTTATTGTTGTTTAAACCTTTGTTTTAGTAAGCACACTTATTGTGGTTTCAACCTTTGCATAAGTAAACACACTCATTGTGGTTTCAACCTTTGTTTTAGTAAGCACACTTATTGTGTTTCAATCTTTGTTTTAGTAAGCATTCTTATTGTGGTTTCATCCTTTGTTTTGGTAAGCACACTTATTGTGGTTTCTACCTTTGTGTAAGTAAGCACACTCATTGTGGTTTCATACTCTGTTTTGGTAAGCACGTTTATTGTGGTTTCAACCTTTGTTTTTGTAACACACTTATTGTGGTTTTAACTATTATTTTAATAAGCACTTATTGTGATTTCTGCCTTTGTTTTAGTAAGCACACTCATTGTGGCTTCAACCTTTGTTTTGGTAAGCACACTTATTGTGGTTTCAACCTTTGTTTTAGTAACCTTTATGTTTTAGTTTTTCTGTATTACTTGGGCTTTGCATCATATATAGCTCTATTGAATCTGGTTTGTTTTTTTATCATACTTAGGATTTAGTTCTTCTTCTTACTTGGCTTTTGTCTTTCTAGTATATTTAGTACATATGGTAAAAAGATTTAACTATTAGGTAGTGAAGCTGGATCTTTTGTTTGCATTATTATTGATAAATAAAATAAGCTTAATGTTAATAATTCTATGTTTTCTCCTGTTGAAGCATCAGATATAAGTTTGAAAAAATAATATATTATTTCAAAATTCTTTTATATTTTGTTCTTTTGTTGAGTACTTGGACTCAGATAAGCCATCCTTTCTAGTGAAATAATTTTAATAGATGAAAGAGAAGCAGAAAACACATAAAAAAATTGGAAAATACATGACCTGACCACCACTGTAGTGATTCACATACATTATGAATGTGATACTCTTACAAACTTGTAAAATAGGAAACTCTTCTACAAAAAGACCTTTTCAATGATCATTTATTGATTAAAATTTCAGTATATTCATGTGGTGTTTATAATTTTTAAAGTGTAATATTTGACAAAAATATACATGAAAAAATTATTTAAGAAAAAGTTTGGAAAAACTACATTTGGGAGACTTTTCTGAGATTGAAACCTTGTTTTAGACAACTCTGTTTTAACAAAGAGAAATGCATATTTTATTCAGCTATTTTATAGTGTAATTTGTGTTTTTCTAGGTTGTACTTATGGATATTTCAACCTGAGCTCATTCCTTGGTTCTGTTACTGAAGGATCTGTGGATGAATCCCCAGTAGTTAGAGCAATAGCAGTGTCTCAGAAATATAAAGTTCTTTCCTTTGTTCTTTATCCTAATCATAACAGTACCAACATTACACTTTCTCTTAAAGGAAAAGTCAATAACAGTGTGTTTGAGGTAAGAAATTTTTATTTTTAGTATATAGAATTTTGTACTTCAAAAGCAGGTGTTTCCAAACTGTGGACACCCTCTATGAGGTCACGGGAAACTGCAAAAGGAGTTGAAGAAATGCAACCAATTTTTAATCTCTTTGATTTGTTTCTGTTTGTTTTTTGTAAATACTAATACATTCTAAAGAGTTTCTGTCTAGTTGTGAAACAGGGAAAGAATTTCCTTTTTTTATTTTTTATTTAACTTCAAATATTCCTGCAGAGCTACCTAATTTTGAACTGACAGGCTAGAAGAAAGTCAGCTAATCAACAACACCCACTGCCAACTGTTTTATTACTTTTCTTTGAGTGAGCACTTGGATTTGACTATCACTCTTGTAGTGTTACCATGACACCAGAGTATAGGGCATGTTCACAATGAATTCTTGGATCAATGGTCTGTGTGTTCTAACCATTAGGCCATGCCTAGCCCTTGTTATGTGTATTCTACATTTGTTTTTTGATTGTTTTAAAATTATGTAATTATTCCAAAATAAACTATGTATGAAACTGTATTATTGATCCATATTTTAGAATATTATTTATTCTCTGGGTGGGGGGGTCTTAATTGTTCACTTTACAAAAGGGGCTCCAAGATTAAAAGTTTGGGAATCACTGTTCGAGAGAATTAAACTAAATGAGTTAGAGTAAGCTTGAATGAGTGGCATTTTGATAAATATTTGATCTTTTTGTTTATGTATACAATATCCATACTGTACCTGATTTATGTATTTAATTGTTGTAGGTTACATTTACTCTGAATGTGGACACCACTTCAAGAAAAGAACTCACCAGATCTACCAAGAATAATGAACTAAAAAAAACTTATGAACAAATTACAGAACCTACAGTGACATTTGAAGAATTTCCTGATGAAATTAGGTGCTTTTTCAGTTTGTTATTTAATATACACATCGATCTTTAGGTTTCAGATCCTTACTCAAAGATAAAGTATCTCAGATATAGGTTATTACTCAGATATAAAGTATCTCAGATGAATGTTCTTACTCAGATATAAAGTATCTCAGATATAGGTCCTTACTCAGAAATAAGGTATCTCGGATATAGGTCCTTACTCAGATCTAAAGTATTTCAGATATAGGTTGTTACTCAGATATAAAGTATCTCAGTTATAGGTTCTTACTCAGATATAAAGTATCTCAGATATGGGTCCCTACTCAGATATAAGGTATCTCATTTATAGGTCTTTACTCAGATATAAAGTATCTCAGACATAGGTTCTTACTCAGATATAAGGTATCTCAGATATAGGTTCTTACTGAGATATAGGTTTAGTAAGGAACTATATCAGAGATCCTTTATCTCTGCATGAGTAAGGACCTATATCAGATATATTTTATATCTGAATGAGAACCTATATCTGATTGAGGACCGGTATCTGAGATATTTTATACCCGAGTAAGGGGATATAAAGTATCTCAG